AGGACTTGCCTTTGGTGAATCCGTGCTGGCTGTCTCGAATCCCCTCCCCGCCCTCCATGTGCTTTAGCACAGTTTCTAGGAGGATCTGTTCCATGATCTTCCCAGGCACAGAGGTGAGGCTGACAGGTCAGTAGTTCCCAGGGTTCTCCTTTCTTCCCTTTTTAAAAATGGGCACAATGTTTCCCTTCTTCCAGTCACCAGGGACTTCACCTGACTTCCATGACTTTTCAAATATTATGGAGAGTGGCTTGGCAACTACATCGGCCAGGCTTGGCAACTACATCAGCCAATTCTCTCAGGACTCTGGGATGCATCTCATCAGGTCCCATAGGCTTATGTACATTCAGGTTCCTTTGGCTCCCAGCTCACCTTACCTTGAGGAGCAGTTCGCTTTTACTGCTCCCCAACATGGCCGCACATTTTGCAAAGTTTTAAGTAAAAACAAACCCCCCAACTTTATTAATCTCCCCAGTTATATAGAAGGATGGATGTGTAACACTGCTATTCACACAACTTCTCCCCCTTCAATATGTGGAACCTTCTTCTGAATTTATAACATGAATTCCCAAGGTTACCTCCTCCAGAAGTCTCTGCTTGAGCTCCCTTTCTGTCTCAAGCTTCTGTTGTAAACTGCGCGCATTCATCTCCAACATAGCATGCTTCTTCTCCAGGTCATTGAGCTAGGCAGGTGGGATAGATGGTCAGAATAACATTGAACACTAATAAATATAGTGTTCCACAATCTTAAAATCAAAATTCACCAAGCACACACTAAAGAAAAATTACACAACTATCCTTTACTTACCATAAAGGGGAAAACCAACCACACAACATTTTGGTATGCCCTTGCTCAAATGCAGATATCAAGTTACTGAAGGACTTCACTATACACTCTAGGCATCATATGCTGCTTTCTGCTTTAGTCTTTTTCAAAAGGAAATCTGAGGTCTTTGGCTTGAAGACAGAATTCTATTTCATGACCTCCAGACTTTTTAGTTTGCTCTAACATCTTGAAAAAGCTGCTCAAGACCACATTTCTACAAGTAATCTCTCTGAAAAAGTGTCTCATCTAATTATGAAAGTCTAGGGTTGAAAGTTACTTACCTTATCAGAAAGGCTCTCAGCCTTGAGTTTTTGTTCCTTTAGTGCTTGCTGGAGGGCTAGAATCTCTGCCTTGTGTTCTTTGACAGCTAGTTCTACCACCTGGCGAGATTCAGTAATACGCTGATCTGCTCTCACTCTGTATTAAAATGGAAAATAATGTTACCTAACTCCTTTCTGGGCTTGACCTCTTCCTAGCATGCAGTGGCATCAATAACTCTTTCAGGGGGTTGCCTCAAATTCAAGATGTTACTTTATAAAGCCAGCCTGTTTGCTGCAACACTTTTATATTATATAACCTTGTTCCTGCCCCTGCTAGAACTACAGCCTGAAAATTTCAAGACCCCACAGGAACAGTTAGGAGCAAAGACCATTATTCCATAAAATAAAGTAGAAGATAATAAATCAAGACATTTTATAAATTACAATGATAAATACCACTCCCCATGAAC